CGACTGTTTCCAAAATATGAATATTTTGTCTAAGGAACCCAGAGAACCAGCATTGCCTGAGGTAAATTTTCCATTTTCATCTCCTTCAACTGTCAACTTTTGAATTATCGAATTTATAAATTTTTCGAAATAAGTAAATTTCTTTTGTCGCTAAAAAGTTGGTTTGTATATAGTAGTCATCTTAGAAATAGGTCGGCGGCAATCTGCTTCCGGTTTCTGTTGGGGTCTCTTTTCCACTTCTGCCTCAGGGCTGACAGTTTATATCCTTTTTATAAGGTTCCCTGGATACTGGCGCGAACCTTGGTTTCGGCTAACATCAAAAGTCTCTTTGTGTTAATTTTCCGGCGTTACTTTCTTTTTAATTTTTTTTATATAGCGGAAGTTATCTGTCTATATTTCTGAGATGAAGTATTATGTACACTATTTACATTATTCGGACTATTGTCCTCATCTTTGTCGCCATATTTATTACAACGTTTCGGCCGTAGTACGCTCCGGCTTTCTTCAGATGGTTGGAATGTCAAACTGAACCCTTTATTTAGCTCACAGGGGTAGAATGTTCTAGTTACACGTGCCATGTCTAATGGATGTCAGTTATCAGTTATCTCCTGTTAATTCCCCTCTGAAAGTTCTCCACTGGATCTCAACCTGATCCTACAGACGGCGGTGATCTCCCTTTTCTCTCCATATGTGGTCAGCTACGTCTGATTTTTCCACTTCCCCTCGTGTAACAGCTTTCTGGTGTTCTTGAAGCCTTAACTTGAGGGGGCGGCCTGTCTCCCCTTTATATTTCTTTATGGAATACTTTCAGGAAATGGCATTAGAATCTATATCTCTAAAGCCAACTCTATGGTTAAAGTACGTAGATGACACCTTCATACTCTGGTTACACCAGGAAGATGGTCAGGTTCTACTGGGCCATGTGAACTCAATAAGACCTTCGATACAGTTCACGATGGAGAAAGAGATAGGATCAAGTTGAGATCATAGACAAAGAACACCATTGGAAAATTCGTAAACTTAAGGAATCCGCACATATGCTAGGCCACAAAAATCTCCTGAGCCGACTAAGCATAGAAATTAATACAATATGGGAACCAGTAATAAGGAGTGCCAGAGAAAAGCGAGAATAACAACAAAAATGGCAATATTAGCTCTGGTAAAAACATGTAATGATAACAGAAAAAATTGCAATGAGAGCACTGGTAAAAAATGGTTGCTGAAGACATTAGGTTTATAATACCCAGAAATTCATACACAGATGTCCCCAAGGGCACATGGCACAGTGGATAAAGGCGTTGGTTAGATCCAGTGACAGAGCGTGAGTTCAATACCCGGTTAAGACAGTGGAGAACTTGGAGAGGAGATAACTGACATCCATTAAACTTTTCTACCCCAGTGAGCGAAATAAAGGGTTCAGTTCGACATTACAACCACCTGGAGAAGGCCGGGGCGTATAACGGCCGAAACGTTGTAATAAATATGGCGAAAAAGATGAGGACAATAGTCCGAAGAATGTAAATAGTGAGCGGAAGTTATGTGTATGGAACCTCTTTGATTTTTGGTAGTTTTAGTCATAAGTTTTAGACTTCAGCAAACTTAACGCCTTTTTGCGGCTGGATTCAGTGTTTTCTTTTTCTTCTTCCTCTTTTTTTGAAAGTTGCCTTCTCGTTAGTAGAGAGAGAGAGAGAGACAGACAGAGACAGAGTGTGCGTGTGTGTGTGTGTGTGTGAGAGAGAGAGAGAGAGAGTCGTATTAAGACAATATTATAATTACGTTCTTTGCAAAAACATAACACAGTAATGGTTATGCAATGCTTTAAAATTAAACAAATGAATTATTGAATGAAACTGAAGACAGATTTTTTTAGCAACAAGTAACCATTTATTTGATGTTTTCTACACCATGTGGTGTGTTTAATAAAACCCTTGAGAAGAAAGGGAAAGTTCACTTACATACATTGAAGTGTGTTAAATAAAACCCTTGAAAAGAAGGGAAAAGTAGGTACTTAAATTTGTTGAAGAATCTATGTCGGCAAAGCGGGAAATGTCGATTCATTTGATGAGTGATCTATGTCTGAGTTCACAACATAGAATCCCCTTCTCTCTTTTATCTTTGGTATTTATAGCTTCCAGACAGCAGGTGCTGGCTCAAAATGAAGCCTTTCAAAAATGCTAGGGAAGCGCTGTCAGTGGTCGATTAATAATATGGATTTTATTTTCGAATATTTTAAATGCTACCGGAAGTGCCACTCGGGGCCTATACGTAAATGTCTGATTTTGGTCATTCGACTCCTGACTTTGAAATGGCAATTTCCGGTCGACCCGAGAAGGGTTTTAATTGAATGCGAATGCCTTATTTTTAATTTGAATTATTTTTAATTATATTTATATATTTTATTTTCATATTTCTTTTTTTTTTTTCGAGGAACTTACTACACGTTCTTCTTCCCGGAACACTGACATCTCTCCACTTAATTGGCTAATTTTTGGTGGAAACAATTTATCTGGAGTCAGAATTAAGTGACTGTCAACTCCTCCATATTCAGTAATATCTGAAGATACACTTGGTGCTAATAGTGTGAAGGGGATCTAAAATTAATATTTAGGTGGAATCCCGTTTAGCTAAACGGGCTTCCACCTAAATATTAATTTAACCATGAGTCCCCTATCAAAATTTGGTAGCAATTTTTAACAATCTCAAAGTAAATTAATTCCAGACATACATGGATTTTATCTATATTTATAAACTGAACTATGTGTAACATAGCTCAGAAAAGGAGAGAAACCTCCAGTTTTCACAAACTATTAACCTTCTACTGTAAGCAAATGACAATATGTTTCTTTGAAAAACTTGTAGATTAACCTGTTAGGTTACCAATTTATTATGAGAGTCATCATTTTGTAGTGATATTGTCTCATTTATTGAACTGTTGTGTGTGGTGTATATATATATATATATATATATATATATATATATATATATATGCAATTTTTCATATTATATATTATATATGCACGGTACTTATTGAAAAGCGCTCAATATCAGTGATAGAGCTAATATATTTAATTGGAGTGATGTGAATTTGCGACTCTGGGTTTCACGCTATTTGCGATCGTCAGATGATCGCAAATGCCATAAAACCGACAAAGTCACATCAATCCAACAATATATATATATATATATATATATATAATAAGTGAACATGGAAGTCAACACCTAGCGACGAAAGTATGTTTCATGCTTAAATGCAATCATCAGATCATGCGTGTTGTGTTTTGTTTAGATTATTTATATATACTGGTCAGTGTTGCATTATGGATAGACCTATTGTATTATTCTAATGAATATTTGGTGGGTAGTGACGGTTATGTTTCACATTATTCTAGGGACTATTGAGCGGAAATAACTGTGGATCTGGATGTAGTTTTGTGGCCATTTTATAGCATTGTTTGTTAACGTCTTTATTCATTACTTAACATTATTTTATATATACTTGTGTTTATGTGTGTGTTCGTAGTTTGTTAATTTGTTTATTAGTTACTTAATTTATTTACTTATTGACTTGATTTGCTTTATTTATTTATTTCAATTTTATTTTATCTTATATTTATCTATTTTTGTTAGTTTTAGTTTTTTGATTTTTAAGCAACGAAGTAAGTTAAGTAATGTGCAACTGCAGAGCAAAGAATGAATGTCCCTTAAATGGCAATTGCTTGCAGAACAATCCACTGTAAAATCAGCAGATAATGAAGAAATCTATACATAGGGGTAAATGAAGCACTCCGGAAACAAATAACTATGCACACAAAACATCCTTTGCAAGCAGTAAATGTGCGAACAATACAATGATTTTTAAACATATCTGGGAACTTAAAAACAAAAACAACTCAAACCAAAATATCATGGAAAATAAGGAAAACAATACAAAAACTATAAACTGTCTGGAGGAGAAAATAGTTATAATTACCTTTTCAGGCCAGCACAAACTACTAAATAAGTGATCAGAACTCATCTGAAAATGCAGACATGAAAACAAATAACAATAATAACAATAACAAATAATAAAATAATTAATAATAAATAATGAATAAAAATGTTAACAATGCTATAAAATAGCCACAAAACTGTATCCAGATCCACAATTATCTCTGCTCAATAGCCACTAGAATAATTTAAAACATAACCATTACTACCCACATAAATAATTGTTGGAATAATACAATAAACCCACCCATAATGCACCACTGACTTGCATATATAGTTGAGACAAAACACAAGGCACATGTCCTGATGATTGTTAAAGCATGAGACAGACTGTCGCTGCTGGGTGTCAACTTCAATGCCATATGCTCTATTCCCAATATTGAGAACTTTAAGCCATAAATATATCATACCTTAAAAGTATATATTTATCATGATATCATGATTGTGGCCTTGTGAGTTTTTTTCTGAAAAGGAGACAGTATAATGATAGTATTTGTATTGTATACAATGTGACATGTGCTTCACCTGGAGACTAAGAATTGCACCTGGAAATGAGACATATTACTACAGCATCCTGTGGTTGAAGAGAGAGGGAGAGAGTTTGTGTCATTTCCTTTTATGTTTGATACAGCACCACCTAGCAGGTGTTAGGAAAATCCCCTGGCAGACATGAGTAATAAATTATCATTTTTTTCTCAATAAAACATTATCATTATTAATCTTGGAATAAGTTTTTTTAATCTTCTGTAGCTTGTTTATACCTAATAGCAATCTTAATGTGTTCACATTTCTTGAACCAAGCATTGTCAATTATTATTATTAATTTTTTAATTAGCTTGTCTTCATTTTATTTACATATCTTTTTATCATTGTAGTTCTTACATTATGAAATCAGAACAAAAAGGGCCAACTCTATTTTCCAATCTATGCTGATGAGTTAACAGTGATAAAATACAAAATCAAGCACATTGTGGTTTTGTTATAATGATAATTTCATCTGTTTCATTTTTTAGGAGAAAGAAACAGTATTTCGCAATTTGGATACTGCTGGAGCCAAGCTGGATGAAGAGAGACGGCGACAAGCAGCTCGATTAGAGGAGCTGAAGGAATTGAAAAGACAGAAACAGACAGACAATGCCAGCAAAGCCAGAGAACTTATGAGTGAAGTAGATAATCTTACCAAGATGTAAGTAGAACTTAGTACATTTGAGTTGTATTTTAATATACAATCAATTATTTCACAATAAAATATAATAGTAATATATCACGTGAGATTCAGCTTAAATATATATACTTATTTTTAAAAATATTGATAATAACTTGTTTGAGGAGTATTAGGTTTTATCATGAAAACAAACTAATTGCAATATAATTTTTTTATAAATAAATAAAAAATATACAGGTTATAGAAATGTTTATTTTATAAACACAATATTCCAAAAAAATGAATTAATTATTTTATATTACATGTTAATTGTAGCTTCCTGACATTCTACAACTATCATCAGTTTTTTTATTCATTGATTCTGTTAAGTTTTCTTCTGTTTTGACTTAAACCTTACTTACAGCAGATTCTATTGCTTTCAAAAGATATTTTTTATTTGAATATTATTTTCCATTTTCACATGCATCTCTTTTACTGATGGATCACACATTTTATGCCGAAAATGATTTTGAGTGACTTTAAAAGAATCTTAAGTTAAATGTGTTTCTTGGTTTGAATAGGCACCTTGAAGTAAGTAGCTTCATGGAGGTATATAGCTTGGTATATTTGTGTTTATTTCAATCTTTTCTAGATTTTGCTATAGAGACCAGTTTCTCTTATATATTCAAGTATTTTTGAAGGTTTTACTTGGAGGAATACTTCTTTCAGGTTTGTTTCTTTGTAGCACTTTTGGCGAGTTCGCTTCAAGTCTAAACAAGTTGGCAAAATGTGACATTGTATAAGCCTCCTGGCATGGTATACAGATTGGAGCTGCCTCCTTCTTAAGGAGGTAAGAATGGGTGATGCTCGAGTGGGCCATATGGAGTCTTGATAATGTTACTTGTTCTTTTCTAGTCATTTCACTGTAGTCATTTATTTCTTCAATTGGTTCCTTTATTGCATGTAATTTGTTATTGGTGTAAGAATTCCATGATTCTTGCCATTTGTTCATTTGATGTTTGTTAATTATTGCTATTAGGTCTGTGAAGGGAATTTTATCTTTTGAGGGTTCCAGTTCTAGTGATTTTTGCTGCCTGATCAGCTCTGTGATTCCCCTTTATACCAATATGACTGGGTACCCAGCAGAAGACTATTTCTTTATTTTTAGTAATTACATCGATCTTGTTAAGGATTTTAGTTGTTAAAGAGTTGTGTGTTTTTCTATTTTTCAATGCAGTTAGTACTGAATTCTTATCTGTAAAGATGATGTGTTTCTTTTCTTCACTGTTTTCAATTATATTCAATGCCAGTTCTATGGCTGATGCTTCAGCACTGTAGACTGATGCTTTATCAGGGAGTCTTTTTAATAGTTTGTCTTTGTTGAGCACTGTGGCACATGCAACTTTATCCCCAACTTTGGATCCATCTGTATATATTTCCATGTGGTTTTGGTATTTGTCTTTAATACTTTGAAGCTCTTCGTGGTATATAATTGGGCTGGTTTTTGCTTTTGATTACTTGATTAAGTCAAGTATTATTGTTGGTTGTTTTGCCAACCAAGGTGGGTATTTCAGGCTAACAGATTTGTGAATTATGGTTATATATCTTTTTCGGCTTCATCTTTACCTTGTTTAGTTCGTAGTCCATATGGTTTGATGGCCTTTTCTTTTTTTTCAAACAAAATTCTGTGTTGTGGCTGAAAGACGCACTTGTATGTAGGATTTGAGGGACATGATGCTAATTTCATGTAATATTGCAATGCCAATTTTCCTCTTCTCATTACCAGTGGTGGTTCATATGCCTCTACGTACAGGCTCTCGACTGGGGTAGTGGCAAATGCTCCTATTACTAGTCTTAGACCTTGGTGATGGATAGTGTTCAACTCTTTGATATAGTGATTTTTAAGCGCTGCTTAGATGTGGCACAAGGCCGGAAGATCCGAACTCACTAAGTCGTAATTGTTCTAGCGAGACATGCAATTAAGGTGCCATTCAACTCTTTGATTTGGATCGATTAAACGAAACAGCAATAATAGTTTGGATCTTATTCGATAGAGTTTTAGAAGTGTTTTTTTTTTTTTTTAACAGCTCCCCAGTTTGTATGAGCTATGACTCTCAGTAGTTGGATAGATTTGTTACACTTTTTCCTCAGATACTCAATACGGGGTATGAAAGTGAGTTTTTGGTCAAAGATAATACCGAAGTATTTATATTGTTTAACCCCAGTTATTGTGTCCTTACCAAGCTTCAGGATCATTATGCATTTTACGATGTTGGCAAAAATGCATATACTTGGTTTTCTCTTTAGAAAAACTAAATCCATTATTTGTAGCCCACTTATTAGTTTTGTTTAGGCTTAGTTGCAGTTGCCTTTCAATTGTGCACATATATTTTGCTCTATAGCATAGCATTAGATCGTCTACATATATGGCACATTCTGTTCCAGTATTAACGTTTTTTAATTATGTTGTTAATCTTTATATTAAAAAGTGTTACAGAGAGTATACTGCCTTGTGGCACTCCCATTTCTTTCCAAGCTGAAAGGGTATCTCCAAATTTCACCCTGAATTTTCTATCACTCATAAAATTTTTTATCAGTATTAGCATTCTGCCCTTCAGTCCCATTTCCTTTAAGTCTTTCATTATCCCATATTTCCATGTTGTATCATATGCCTATTCCAGATCAAAAAACACTGATACGATGTGTTCTTTTTGGATGAAAGCTTCTCGTATGTATGTTTCTAATTTTACTATGTGGTCAATAGGGCTCCACCTGTTTCTGAAGCCTGCCTGATGTTCTGTGATCATTTTGTTTGTTTACAGATACCACACCAGCCTTTTATTCACCATTCTTTCAAAAGTCTTGCATACACAGCTGGTGAGTGCAATAGGGCGGTGGTTCATTGGATCCGTAGTGTTTTTGGAAGGTTTGGGCATAGGAATTATTGTGGCTTGTTTCCATATATTTGGGATTTTTCCAGTAGTCCAGATATCATTATAGATTTTGAGTAAGTATTTTTTTGGTCCTCTGGGCAATTGCTTTAGTTATGTGCTTTTTTAAAAGCGTCTTGTAATTCTGTTAACATGAATGGTTGGTTATAGGTTTCGGAGTTATCTGAATGAAAATTGATTTCTTTTTTCTCCTTGCGCTTTTTGATTGGATTTTTTTTTTTTTGAGGATTGTTTGAGGAGGAGTTTTTAGCAAAGTTTTCGGCTAGGTGTTCAGCTAGGTGTTCAGCCAGGTGTTCAGCTATGTCTTTTTTATTTGTAATTCTGGTGCCCCTTGTGGCTGATATGTTGGTAAGGTTGTCTGTTGTTTTTCCCTGAAATTTTTCTAATCATGTCCCATACTTTTTTAGATTTAGTGTCTGAATTCATTTTACTAACATATTGCTGCCATGATGATTGTTTAGCCTTTTTAATGGTCCTGCATGCCCTAGCTCTATCATTTTTATAGACATCTAAATTTCCTTTGGTTGGACGATTTTTAAATTTCCTAAGAGATGCTAGTCTGGCTCTCACAGCTACTTTACATTGTGTGTTAAACCAGGGGTTATTGAATTTACAAGAGGGTGAACTTTTGGGAATATTTTGTTCTGCGATTGTAAAGTATGTGATATCATCCTCTTTGTTTATATTTGCTCCTGGTGTCAATTTTCCTTGACATGAATTTTGGAAACCTTGCCAGTCTGCCTTTTGAATATTCCATCGAGGTGTTTTATTGTCCCTTTCTGGGTCCTGGCCTTCTAATATGATAGGGAGGTGGTCACTTCCACAGGTCTCATCATATACTCTCCAGTGATAATTCATGTAAATGCTGGGATCGCGTATTGTTAAGTCAATGGCTGATAATGTTCCAGTTGCTGGGTGCAGATATGTATTAGCCCCGTTGTTATAAAGGCATAATTGGTTCTGATCTAAAAATTCTTCTATTATTTTCCCTCTTCTGTTTGTATTCTTTCACTGTGACTATTACAATCCCCCATCAGTATGAAGGGTTTAGGTAATTGTTGAATCAGTTCATCCAGCTCTCTTTTGTCCAGTGTATCATTTGGAGGTAGGTATAGTGAGCAGAAAGTCACTGGTTTTTTTTTTGTAGTGTTACTAATACTACAATTGCTTGCAGTTTTGTCTTTAATTTGATTTCGCTTTGAGTGATGTTGTTATTAACTATAATTGATGAGCCACCTGAGGTTCTATCTCTTTGATCATTTATGTAGTTGTATGATGTATATTTTTTAATGTGAAATGAGTCTTTTGATTTTTGATGCGTTTTCTGTAAACATGACTGCTGGGCAGAAAATGGCGATGAGAAGCATCAATTCGCAATGGTTGACCTTCTCACCCCTTATGTTCCATTGGAGGATTCTGTAAGCCATTTATTTTGAAAGCTGTTTTAGTTTGGATGTTCGAGGTTTCTGATTCTCGGTATCCATTGGCTCCAAGACTTCAAATTGGTTCTGTATTTGTTCATTTTTTTTTCCTGTGTGTAGGCGAGGATTCTCTCCTTTGACATCCATTGATTCTAAGGCTTTGAATTTGTTTTGTATTTGCTTTTCCTTTTTTTTTTTTTTTTGGTCGTGATTTGGATATGGATGGTAGTGTAGGTAATTTTGTTATCTTTCATTTGGATTGGGTTTGTACCCTCAGGTTTTTCTTTGATTACTTGTTCTATTTGTTCTTTGCAATTGTTCTTTTGCTTTGAATAAGAAATGGATATTGCTATTGATTTTGTTGCTATTTCTTTGGTCCCTTTGGTCCCTTCCTCTTTGTTGTGCTGTTTTATGAGGGTAACTTTAGGTTTTGTTATAGCTGGTTTGATTTCTTTTATGAACCGAGGCCAGTCATTTGGTCCCAATTGTAGTAGTTTCTCTACTAACGCCTCATATTTATCTTGTTTGGTTGTTGTTTCTCTTGCAACCTGTGAGTATGTTTTCCCTTTCCCTCCACTATTCTATGAGACTCAGGGAAGGAGATGTTTTTGGTGTGTTTCACGGTCATAATTTCTTTTTTTTTTTTTGAATGCATCCCATTCTCTTGAGTAGGAGGGGTGATCTCCTCCACAGTTTGCGCAATTAGTTTTTTTTCTTTACATTCATTTGTAAGATGGCCTGGGTCTCCTCGTCCACATTTACCACATGTCGTTCGTCCACGGCATCCATCCTCATGGTGGCCAAATTTTTGGCAATTATAGCATTATAAGAGGGTTAGGGATAAATTGTTCCACCCTTTCTATATTATATCCAATCTTTATTTCTTTTGGTATGATAGGTGTGTTGAAAGTTAAAATATATGTATTTATTTCTATTATTTTTCCTTCCCTTTTTATAGAGACCCTCTTCACATCAATTACTCCTTGGCCTTTTAGTTCTGTTTTAATTTCCTCAATTGTGCATAATGTGAGTTCCCTGCTTCGCACTACTCCTTTAGAGGAATTTAATTTTTGATGAGGGTAGGCTCGTATTTTCACATTATGAAATTTGATCATTTTCAGGAGGGAGGTGGCATGTTTCTTTTTCTCTACCTCTATTAGTAGTGTTCCGTTTTGGATGCTCTTCATTGTTTTAGCGGGAACATTGGGGGATATTACTTTCTGTATCAGAAAAGGGGATAATTTGGTCAATGGAGTCTCTTCCATAGATTCTAATATTATGAATCTGGGAAAGTTTTCCATAATGTTATGGTCCTCCTCAGAGTCGGAATCCATATGCGGTCACTTAATGGGTTTATTGGAAATTAATTTGCCAGAGGGGTTTTGTTTGTGTTTGTTTTCCATTTAAATGTGTCATATGATTCTTTGATTGTGCTCCCCACCCACCTATCCATGTCGGAGCACGCAATTGGGATCTGTCAAGAGGGAAACCCTATCGCCTTGACGCATCAGGGACTACACAATCAGTATACTCATCAGCATGAGAGACCCAGAGCACCTGTCACATCACCTTGTTCACCACCCCATAACATCAGTGCACAAGTGGAGGGGTAATCAATGAAAAGCAATCTAACTTACATGACATATGCCAAAGTTTAACATTCTCATAGCAGCTTCAATTGTGTATAAATGAAATAGATAAAAGATTAATAATAAAAAAGTTACATCCTGCTTGTGGTTTTAGCTGCTAAGACCAGCAACACAGTGCTAACAAGGTGCGTGAATGTGGTCAGGTAAACAGAAAGAATGACAGGTGGCGAGAATTTCCATTCAACCTTTATGCAATTTTCAGTGTTCTGTTCCTATTCCTATATAATATCTTTTGTGGCTAAATTGTTCATTGACAATCTTTGAAATTAAAAAATAAATGTCAATAACTATATATATATATATATATATATATATATATATATACACACACACAAAATGATGAAAAATATCTGAGTTGCATAATAAAATCTAGAGAAAGAGATGTTATAGTAAACATTTCTAATGAAAATAGATGAAATTCACATCGTATCTTGTAAATATATCCTGAAAATTATTCCAAAATTTTATTGTGAACATTGCATAATAAAATCTGACATTGTGTACAATTAGCAAGTTGAGTACAGATTTTAGTGATGCTTATAATCAATGATTAGGAGTATACTTGTCAACTTCATATCTCATAATTTATGAATTTCTTGATTAAGTTTTTGAACTCCACCACCACTATCATTATTATGAATCCTATGGTTGAAAACATCATCATCATTTTTTTTTTCTTTTCTAAAGTTAACACATTACAAATTAACAAGTTTTACTGCTAAGACTAGAAATGATTTAGGGATTTGTTTAGCATGTTATTTTTCAATATTATCTTCAGAATAAGCAAAGTGGTGAGTAAAACATTATTTTCTTTTTTGTTGCCGTTTTTAAGAGTTGCTATAAATTTAGCCCATATCCTCCTGGAATCAGTTTAAATTTTATTTATTTTTTTCTCTGTATATAAACTGTAATTTTAGAAGGTAAAAATTTCACAGAAACATATTTGGAAAATTTCTAAGTTTTCATAAGAAATCAAGAAAATCTTAACTTCAAACAAAATTATCACAATATATGGGAAAAAATGTCAGTTTAAACTGACATCAGAAAAATACGGTTTGAGAAAACCTGTTGAAAGCACTTAAAAATTTCAAATTAAAATTTATTCAGAATATTAAAGTTATAAACTGTTATCTTGTTTATGAAACAGTTTAACAAAAATGAGTAGTTTACTTTCTGACACTGGGGCACATTTTCTGACTCATAAACTATGCTGTTCATCATGAGGACTTTTATGAGCTTTTTAAGAACTTTTTTTATTATCGGAAAGATATGCCACCTTATGTAGTCCTTTAACCTAAAATATGAATTCATATGACATGTTTTTGCTTTGTTTTGTTTTTAGGTTGGACAAAAGCAAAGTGCAACAACAAGAGAAAGTAATGGAAAAGGTGCAGGAGAGGAAGAAGAAAAAAGAAAACACACCAGAGATACAAACTATCCATGTTGCACCAGCATATAGTGGTGGAGATGGAGGTGGAGGCACTGGATTGTCATCAAACACCTGGAACACAGAGATGCATATCTGAAAATGCCTCTCTATCAATGTGATCTACTATTTATGAAATATGGAACTGGAGAAAAAACAAACCTGTTTTTTTTTTTAGACAATTATTATTATATATTCTAGGTACTTCACTGATACTTCCACCACCATTTCAACTTATGTAGTATTATAATGTTGCTAATACAATTATTGTTTGTAATTATGACACTGATATATTAGAATAAATAAGAGTGATTAGTAATAATTATGCTATCAATAACAGACGGTAACATTTTCAGTTTTATGCAATTGACACAACAAAGTAGAATGAACACAAGTTCGAATTTGTTGTTGGGATTAGAAAAGTCTTGTCTTAATATTTAGTATTTCATGAAAAATGTCAAAATTAGTTTGAAACCATTAAATTGAATGTAGTCCTGATGCACAATGCAATTATAATTGTAGATTGTATTTAAAAGTTTTATAACTAAACTAAAAGAAAAACACCATATCAATTAATGAAAATCTATAAAAACATTACAAGAAAGCAAGTATTATCCAACTACTGGTCATTATGAACATGCAAGTTACAAGATCAATAGCATCATTTACTTCAATACATAACTGTCCAGATATGTGCGTAAATATAATGATTTTAAAATTTAATAGAAATAATCTTTTATTTGTTTACTTTTCAAGTTGTTGCTGCAACTAATTTAGCTGTCATTACAAAAACTGTTTGATTTTTTATCTCAATGACTGAGAAAGAGAGGTAGGTTTTAGACATGCTGCAGTAGGTTTTTTTTCATAGATCTCAAAAATCTCAGCTCACAAGAGGTAAAAATATTTACTAATTTACTGCCTATGAGGATAGTATCATAATGAATTATAATATAATGATTATAAAAGTGTTAATGTTAGTTATTAATGAAATAAGATAGGTTTATTGTTACTTTCATAATTTTCTTGAATAGTCATTTTAAAGATTTTCTGACAGAAATGAGAACTATTTTGATATTATTTTCACTTATAAAAATCAGTTAACATATAAAAATTCTGTTTAAAATTTTAAAGGACAGAAATTAATCAGCCTTCATCTTTTGAAGGATTTGAAATCTTTCTTTATTTGTCAATAAAGAAAGAAAGAAAAGAAAAAGAAAGAAATGTTTACATAAAAGTAGACAAAAATATATTTGAAAATATCTTACTTTAAAAAATTTAAATGGTTGTCCATACAATTAAATTTAGTTCTTTAATAATGAGGTAAAATCTGGTTTTTGCTCCAAATTTTATTTTAGATGAGATTTCTTGAGAATTCTATTAAAAAAGTAAGAAAATAATAGAAAAATAAAGGCAATCACATCCTGAAGAGGAGGATTGCAATACTTGAATAAAAACATGAATTTTATAAACATCTTCAACCTTTTTATTGCTAAGTGTTTTATATGAGTTTGTATTAACACAAGGAATATCCAATCCACTCTTTTGGTTAGTCAACATGAATACCTTAATATTTTTTTAAAATTCTCTTGCTACACAATTATTTCACAAAAGTGATTATCTTAATTTTTTTCCTATGAATACTGAAAATTTACAAGAATGACAAGAATAAGGTAGTTTTGATATATTTTTTAAGATACTTTAACAGTTATAGTCATGCATAATAAACTAAATTGACAATTACACAATATTATGCAATATATATATATATATATATGTATATATATAAAACAAAGAATAAAATAGCAATTTTTTGCAAAAATTAAATGACATTTTAATGATATTATTGAGATTGAGTTTGGTTCATTTTAAAATGTTTTTAGTCCATGATATATGAAGAATGTCTGCCTGCAAAAAGACATCCACTTTGGTGTGTACATGAAATAAAAAAAAATTAAACTTGAGTGACACATTTATTTACATTGTAGTTTAATTACAAAAAGGCCATTACAATAATTGTCCACACAATGTAATTCTACAGACATAAAAGTTCAAACATAGAAGTACTTCTTGAAAGAGGAATAAGAAAATTCCTATCTTATAATGACTGGGCCCTGAAAAGGAGGTGGCGGCAAAAACCAACAGTCATGTATTCATAATGTGCAGTCTAGCACAGAGGCACATCAGTGTAATGTGGAGATTGGCAAAGAAAGAGAAAGTTTTTCCTTTTTGCTGCCAAAGAGAAAAGAAATAACCTTCTCTTCAACAAGGGCAGATTATCAATATCAGAACAAAATAAACTGACTTGTTATAATAGCAAATATAAAAACACAAACACACATTGACTAAGGATGAAACTTGCTGCAATTAGAAAATTCTATAAAAATATAAGAACCTATTTTAGATAACATCATAGCTGTTTTTCTCTTTTATTAATGTTCAAATTATCAGAAAGAGCAAGCACAAAGAACATTAAATCTGTGGTAAATCGTATAAACATTAATATAAATAATATTATTGTATGATATATAATTAAGAAATATATCTTGTATTATTGTAATATAATTCAGTAAGGTATATGATAATCTTTTAGATTTTATGAATATAAAATATCATTTGATATAATGAATATAAACAATATTAGTTATAAAGATTTTACAAACACTTGTATGTGTATATTAATATTTCACAACCTTTTTTGCTTCAAGGCCATGCACTTGTAGAATAACCAAAATTCTTGGGCACATTTTAATTTTAATAAAGAAAAATTCATCATGAAATTCAAAAATATGAGATTTTGGTTTAGCATTCCTCCAAAAGATTAGTGGTACAGTTTTCATTTAAAGTGATTTATAAAGAATCTGCTATTTATTTTTTTTAGAGAGGCTGATAATGACTGATTTAATTCCCTTCAGGAAGGTAAAAAGGAAAGGATTATCCACTCCTTCTTAAAGCTTAAGAAATTTAGCATCCAATTTAAATTATCAAATGACAAAAACTTGGTGTCTCTAGCTTTTTAAAAATGAAGATTTTTGAAATATAAAAATATTTCATAAGGTACTCTTTTGTTAACTTGGAGTACACATTCAGTGAGCAGTAGTATGCCTGGGTAAACCATTTGAGAAATGCTGGTGTATATATATACTATGAGTAAAATTTGCTATTTGGAAAATAATTAATTATTATTTTTTAAACAGTAGATACATCTTAATAGTAAGACTGAAGTTAGTATACAAATCAAATCAAATTTTTATTTAAATAGTATTATAATAAAATACATATTGCAATTGAAATATTTTAAAAATACAATATTTTATATTTCACTTTGATTTTCATGTCAGCATCTTTTTAGGAAAACTTAAATATTAATCCTAATACAGTATAAAATATTAATTTCATGGCCTGTTTTGAAGATAGCAATACTTCTGTAGTTAAATAATAAAAAATAAGTAATGCTAATTTTAAAATCTTAAAGAAAATAAGCATATAGAATATTTAAACTTTCCCATAATGTAATGTAAAATGATTTTGTCATAGAATATAAAATAGAAAGTGGTACAGCATTAGTAAATTGTTTTATAAATCATTGAATAATAAAATATAAAATTAGTTTATAGCAATCAGTAGATGATATGCATTAAAAAAACTATTTCAAGCAATATTTTTGTTTCTGAACATATTCAATTGCTTGCCTTGGAAAATCACATAACATCAGTGGTTAAAACAGAAAAAGATATTGTAATTGAAAATTACCTTCAGAAACTATGTTATTCAGACTTATGAACAATTATGTATAGATTATAAATGTTTCACTTTTTGTAATCTGTTTTCTTTTTATGCACTTCATATAAACAATAAACAATGCTGGAATTGATAACTCATATTCTTTGTGTTGATCATTATAGAGTAATTGATATAAACAAAAATTCTCATATTGCAAAAAAACTTTTTACTAATGTAACATCATTCTAAATTTTTCTGGTGTTTGAAAATACAAAAAAAAATCAAATTACAGATCAAATTTAAAGTTAACAAAAATCAATAAAATGAGAAACATATAAAAGTCAGCAAATAAAAAAAGAAATGATGAATGGCAGATATTTTTTTATTTTAAAAATGGTGATAAATAGTCACATGTAATACACATTGCATTTGAGGATTGTACTTCCATTCAACTTGAATGATTTGCTAGTAGTGTTCAGTTTTTACCTTTGTTTTGCTATTACAGACAACTTTTTATTACAATCTCTGTATTAATTCTGAACTGGATGAATGTTATTGAATTACAATGATCAATATCTTACAGATGTAAGTTGTTCAATGTATGAATAATACAAGAAGATACTGACAACATTGATGGTAATTTGATAGTAAAGTCAAAAGAAAATAAGTGGTCTCAGATGTACCCAGAAAAGAATATCGGGCCTCTCTGAAACAACATTTGGTACATACAGTATTAAATAATTCTAAATATGTTAGTTTTTCTTTTTTTTTTGAGTTGAAAAATGTGCCATCTCTCCTTGAGTTCAGAAAGCCAGAAGGCTTTTTTCAAAGCTCAAAAAAATGAATTAGGTTTAACTGAAAAAATGTAAATATTACTTAAAAGTAATATAATAATTTAATTCAAAATTATTGTGTTATGTCGTGTATCACTAAGTTCTTATTCCACTTCCGTTCTCGTTGGTGTCCATTTATGAGCTACCTGCTCATATGCAAATTATACTAATTTGCATATCACTACATCTCCCTATAACGGAGGGGCCTTATGTCATGAGTACTTCTTGTACTTCTTCTTGTGCCCTCCCGAACATCTTCCTTTATCCCTCTCCTTTCCCTTGGAGATCTAGATCTATCACGTCTTTCCCTATAATCAAATTGTTCCTCTTGCATACTCTGGTCTTCCTCTTCTAATTCATCCCTCTCTACTTCTTCCTGCGCAGTTTCATTCTGCATTAACTCTTCTGATACATCAATAATGGGCATCTCTGAAGGCATTTCCTCATCAGATTCTTCTCCTTGGGATCTTATTTGGTCAGCATGAGCTAGAACACTGTTCCCATTTTCTTTATTTAATATTGCAGTATTATGTCCTTTCTGCATAAT